TCTGACGAGATAATCAACAATGTCCAGACATTTCTTAATACCGGGAAACGACATTTAAACACGATTTTCATATCTTTTTATTAGTGTATTTATAACCACAAAATATAAAAGTTTTCATTGAGGTCTCAAAATAGGTTAAAATATCAGTTTTAGTTTTTTTGTTACCAAATAGTTTTACTCTATATATATACAATAATTGTATATATAATTGTTATAACACAACTACTGTGCGTTAATTTAATATAATAGCTGCATTTAATTAGATTTGAACAACGTTAAACAAATAACAATTTGATGAGTTTTCAAGCTATTACGCTACATTTCAATTTCAAACTTTAGTGTTATAAATGTTGTTATTATTATAAATCTTTATAAATAATTTAATACTTTGCTTCTCTAATTTATATTCAATTATTTTGTTCTATTACTACATTAAAAGTTTCCAAATACAAATCCAATATTTTAAAGGACTTTTTTAACATTTTAAATTATTTATTATTACAATATAAAATCACAAATACCTTGGAATTTCTTACTAAAATAAATGTATTGAAGTCCTAATTAGTAGCTTATTCTAAATGTTTAATTATTGACCAAATTATTTTCCAAATATAATAAAGAAAAATGTGTACAAAGAACAATCTCGTAACTATAGCGTGTCAAGCGATTATGTCACGGGCGAAACTAGATTAAAGCGCAAAATTTAACATTTAGATTTAATTTATTTATTCATTTATGCAACATATTTGTTTGTTCTTTACAGCGACCCAATTATTATAAGAGTTTTCAATTCCTCGTTTTGACATGAGGTAACACTGTCAATGTTGGGTCGCGACCTATAGGTTGAGAAACGCTGTTTTATTCTAATTCTTTCAAGTTAGATGATGATCATAATAAGACACTATAATAATTTACTTTGTTATTAAATAAAAAATATTAATCTTGGATTTGAAATAGTGGAAAATACGTCGTTACATTAGAATATGTCACAAATTCTAAGTTTTTTATAAGAGCAGAGTGGCGCAGTGGAAGCGTGCTGGGCCCATAACCCAGAGGTCCGTGGATCGAAACCATGCTCTGCTAGTTTCTTTTGTTACATAACTTGAGACTTTTGAGACAAAAACAACAGCAACTTTATATTAAAAAAACATTTCCCTAAAATATTGTTGATTATTAATAAATGTTTTAATAATTAATTATGGTAAAAATTAATATTTTTTTTTATTTCTCACCCAATATTTCTCTAAATCTAGCACCGTATTTACAACAAATACAAAATTGTATTCGCGGGTCATGTAAAATTCATTCATGGGCCGACTGAGGCCCACGGGCCGCAAGCTTGAAACTAACATTACAGTCATATTTCTTTTAATGTTCAAATTTTGATTTGTGTAAACTGTATCAAAAAAGTATTTTTGACAATGGAATTATACATTGTTTGAACAAATTTGTTGAATTGCATAATTTTTATGTATATTAATATTTAATTATGCATATAAATTGACACGTTCAATTTCCTATTTTCTGTATCTGTGATATTCTTGTAATTTTATTTTCACAAAACCAAAGTACTTGAGACTAACTGAATATAATTACATTTATACGCAAAGCACGTTACGGGAAGAAGAAAAGATCGAGACGGGAGAAACCTGAATGTGATGATGTGTGCAATCGAGGAAACATCACATTTTATATTTCTTCCGTCTCTCAAATATAGCGACGTTTGGAAACTCGGAATTGCGGTAAGATTGCCTTTAGAAGTTTTCTTGTTGAAAACATTTGTACAAATCCGAACGGAATGAAAATGGTTTCGATTTGCAAATGCATGTACCCCATACATCATAATAAACGGAATTTTCAATTGGAAGAACAAAGAATTATGACGCGGATGCTATTAATTTCGTTCATCAATTCAAGGCTTGGTCTAATGCAAGTTAAATAGATATTTTACATGTCACCATCCCCGTATCGGCAAATTTAATCAAATTTATTGTCGTACCTGATCAAATTCCAATTGAAGATAATCTCATATTTTATGCAATATCTTTTCATCTTGTGTAACCGGATAAGAATCCGATTAAGGCGTATACATGTTAAGTATACAAATCAAGTACTTCAAAAATAAACTGCAAAAAAAAAAAGACCTCACTGTATAAAGAGACGAAATGATTATTTATGTGTAAAGCTACAATATGCAAAGTATGTTGGTAATAAAATACATTGAGTATTTATTAGATAAATCACTTCAGTTCGTACTTTATAAAAGTTTATCTGTTTGTTACAATTCTAATATTCATTAATTATTAAAAAAAATTAAGTATTATTTTATAAAATATTTGTATTGATTTCTTCAGTTAATTTTGTTATTAAGGTATACAATTGTTTATATTGACTACTTTTCTAGTAGAAAACTATTTAATTATCATTACTATGTGAAGCATAATTAAATTAATTTATAAAATTTCTCGTAATTTCTCTTTGTAATTTTAAAATTTTTATCAAGAGGAAAGTGTAATGTTCATATTTATATAATTATGGTCATAAGATAGATTAAATTAAGGCGTTATACAATATTAATATAAAAAATTACGTTAAAGATAATAAAAAGTATGTTAATATTATTTATATATGTTATTTTTTGACTGAAAATGTCATTAAATTAGTAGAATACAGTGTAAAATTATGTATTATTAAAATCTATTGCATAAAAGAAACTGGATGAAAGTCGAATTTTCAATAGGAAAGTGCAGCTGTATACGTAATTGCTTCTTTTGTAACGTACTTTTCTGATTAAAGCAACCTACAATCATAAATAATTGTAATTGCAGATTGCTGCAATTAAAAAAATGTGGATATCGAAAGTGCTTGATACCATTCAGTTCATCCAATTCCAGAAGAAGCCGACCATAATTTTGCGTAACACGAACAATAAGCGAATAATAAATCGTCCGAGCTTCGTTATTAAATGTAATAGATGTAAACGTTATAAACGGTTTCCTTGTTTGCAGATTCTAAACACACTCATACATGCATATGGAATGAGAGAAAAGAAGGCACAAGAGTGTTCGTGTTGGAGCAATTAGTTAATGCGAACCGTTGAATTAATCAAAGTCGCGGAAATATTTAATAATAAATGTTCGACCAGGGAATCGATGAGCTTTGTACATACTGCATTTTCTTTCTATATTTTTTTCTTTTCTTTATTACATCGTCCATTTTCTGTACGTCCGGCATCTGACATGATCGATTCCATCCCGTATAATAGAATATCTACGTTTTTCAATTTATATGTAATTTTACTACTTCATAATTAATTTTAAATAAGACAATATATATATATTCATTTCGTTGATTTAGTTCTTCTAAAATTAAGCAATGAGTTGAAATTTACTAACATAATTCATAATAATTTGAGAACGAGCTTCTTTTACTTCAATTTAATCATCGATTTAATAATAATAATTTATTGGCCAGACATCAATACAAAAGGGAAAAAAGTATATTTTATAAAATAAATAAATGATAATAGTAAAAACTAAAAGGGCGGAAAGACTTAGGTCGATAGCATTTTGGTTACAATTGGTGACTAATAAAGTTTTTTTTTTATTTAAAAACTAAAAAATAATAACAAATCTCAAAAAAAATAAATTCTAACATAAATTTAAAAAAAATATTAATAGGCTGGCCAAAGGGCCGCCCAATCGTTTTAAATATATATTAAATATGACAAAAATTCAATAAGATTATTTAATTGTCATAGTTTTTTTTTAACAAAACTTTTATTGGATTTGAATTTTTTGTATATCAATAATAATATTATTTTGTACAACTATCCATTAAGTATCTTAAAGATCCGAAATAGTGCCAGAATTCTATACAGTTCATTTACATTTCATTGTCTTCGGAACTTTTCTAACTCAAATACCATGAAGGAATTTCCATAACTTAATATATTATATTGTCACATAAAATTTTTCGTTTTACGGTTCAATGATAATTTTTCGCGGAACCATTAAGAAATTTTCCAAAGGTTCCACAGAACCCTGCCTGGTTTAGTGCATCAGAGAGCTACAATTAACTATTCCACCTCTCCTATTTATAGAAAACACAATGAATGAAGTGATGCATCAATAAATTCTAATAAAATTTATTATTATTATTTATTATCAACCACTAAAAGTAAATTTGTTAGTGGTATAATTGTTTTATATTTCGGAAAGATAATACTACTTGCATTATTTTACTTAGTATTTATATTTATTTCAATTTTTATTTTAAAGTTTTTTATTACAGTTTTGAATGCTGCGCAAACGTTCGCTCTTTCGACATTTAGTCGACAATTAATATTGGTTCATGTAATTAATTAAACTTTTATACAATTTAATTAGTGTTATATAATTTTTAATTTTTATAATTCTTTACTACAAATGAAACTCGTTTTACACAATTAATAGTTTTCAGCAATCTAAACATTGTCTAGGTATTGTATAGAATGCACTTTGGCGATGACATATGTAAATATAAAACAAATACATATGTACCTTTTATTTGATTGTTGATTTCTACTATTTAATTCTAGTTTCAATTCAATTACACCGAATCGTCGCAGTTTGCATTGAAGGCCAACAGTTGGAGTGGAATAAAAGAAAGCGGATGGACGGCAAACGCGAACAGATTTGATGTTAATTGCCTCTGCTAGTTAATCATTTGCAATTAAGATAATGCTCGATCGAGGCGTACGAGAAAACGTCTTTAGCAGCGGCGTTAGATATGGATCCTACTTCTTCTGCTGTCGCTGCTGCTTCTGCTCCGTTGCCGATGGATGCTGATTTACTGCGGTTCGGCATCTTAATAAATTATTTCCTCTGAAGCGCGCGCGCGCGCTTCTCCAACAGTCCGACTGTTGCGTAATTAATTTCGACGTCGAAATGAAAACCGAACGATGGAATGATAGGAACTATACAATTACGACAAACTACAAACACGCCATGAAAGTGAGTTACGAAATGGCAATTATATGGTAAATGAATTATGGAAAAAATATTATGCATATGTCTGATTGTATTCATATCTTCGAATAAGACATTGAATAGTTTCTCTATTTATACTCGTATGTTCGTATAGGTTTGCTATCGGTGACAATCGAAATGCGGACAATAGTATCAACATTCTCTAATTACGAAGAAAAGTATTATTATTACGGGGTGTGAGATGTGATTATGAGTAGTTAATTGTTTATAATGATATATTGTTATTAACAATAAATAACAACAATTAATAATCTAATTATATTTTAGATTATTCCTTATTGTTAAGGGAAAAATCCGCTAGTGTTCGGGATTTTGATACTGTCCGAATTATGGTTGTCGGCATTATGATATTGTCAGGATTTCGAATGTTTGGAAATTGATTATCGGGATTTCGATATAGACCCGTTTTTGAATACCTCTGTTCTCGAACTATTCGGTTCCTAAGCAAAAAGCGCTTCGGTTTCCGAACATTATTTCGAGTTTCGAACAGAATTTTATTGCCCCCGGAGCAGTGATTCCCAATCTATGTGAGGAGTGCTGTAATCCATGTTTTGAAAGAATTCGGTGCAATTATCTAATATTAAACCAAAAGGGTCTTTTTGCTTAGAAACCGAATAGTTCAAGAACAGAGGTATTCAAAAACCTAGGTCCTGCTGTACATACAAAATAATATTATATTACAGTTAATTAAATTTGTTTTATGTAAATATGAATTCTTTGAACTTAAGCTAGAAGTAACATTGCGCATTGAACATTCGTTTTTTTTTTAATATGAACATGCGAAATAAATTTGCATAAATTTCGTCCGGATTCTTTCTTTCCTTGTGAGGATCGGAAGATAGTCTAGGACCAATAAATCTTCGTTCCGTTGAAGAGACTCTTATTTATGTAAGAAAGTGAAGTAATTTGCATGCAGCCGTTTCTCGCATTTTTTTTTGTTTCATTCTTCATCGCCGTTGGGCTTTCATGGTTATTATTGCCGTCCTAGGAGCTACTATCCGCTAACTATTTAGCTTTCAAGACATGTTCCGCGTCTACCGTTAAATATAAATAATATAGAAAACGTCGATTCCAATGCGACACTTATTCCGCAAACACACGAACGGCACTTACTTTCAATACAACTTTCGTTTCTTACTAACGAAAAAAAAAATAAGTAGCGTGCAGAAACAATGGTACATTTACCTTAGCCCAATTTTGGTCATTCTTGAATTTAAATATTTTGGTTCCCATTGTTTCTCATTACAATGTACATAAATTTGTAAAATATTTAAGGATTTCCGAATGATTAGTTTTAACTTTCTTCTAACGAAAAATAAGAATTTTGTTTATATATTCATTAAACTGGCGACGGTTCGAATCCTGGTCAAGCCAGGCCCTTTGTGAGCCCTCTCGGTGTTTGCAGCAATAGGGCCACCGTTCATCACAGATGGACAGTGAAATGATTGAGGTTCAGCATATGGACCTTCAACCAAGTCGATGGACAATGATAGTGTTAAGGATAGCAGCAGATTCACAGTCAAAGGAAATAGTGGAATCACTGGGCATTAATACACTACTGAAGTTAACCTACAAGACGACAGCCAACCTACAAATTAAAAATCATCATAATGGTAACTATCCACCGAGAAAGATTATCCATTTAATGTCAACCGCGATCTTAAATTTACTCAATGTTCACATTGATGAACAGATTGTGAATAAAATTATACGACATAAAAAAATATATTCATTAATCTATTGAATTAAACAAAAATAGTATGGTTAACAAAAATACTCTGTTAAAAAACGTATTTTCCACAGGAATTGTATGTTAACCAAATTTATTTAATAAATTTAAGAAACGGCGTAAACTGTGTCCCGGCATTAAATATCTCTGGACATCGTGGATTATCACGTAGTTATGTGGTTTTATAGTGTTAGTGGATAATTATTATCAAATACAATTAATCTTAAGTAGTTTTGGTAAAAATAGTGTTTTTATTGAGAAGTCAACAAATGTTGATCTCATGGATTAACAACCTAGACTTACATCCTCCTGTTAAGTTTTCAATCAGAAAGAATGTTCTTCACTCGACCCACCAATTAAATCTCTTCTACTAAGATTCTTGACTAAGAAAGTTCGAATTTACAAAGTGTCAAATTTGTCAGTATAAAAATACAAAACCGAGTACAAAATATTACTTAGAAGAATTTTCGGAATCTACCTTACATATTTTAAGAAAGATATCAGTTTCACTGTTATAGTTTTATCGTCCAAAAGAAATAGTTTAAGTTTCGATGGGTTCAATATAATGTGTACCAACATTAGGAACTTTTCATGTTTGCTTGTTTGACTTTTTAATACAGAGTAAGTAAGAATGTAGGTTATTAACATTGTTAACAATAAAATGGTTGGACACAACAATTTCACCACTAGCGTTACCTCACAAAAACAAAAGTGAATAGAACATTCAAATCTTTTGCGAAAGTGTTGTTCGATTTGTTTGTAGTCCGAACTGTCCATTAACCGATAACCCACTATATATTTAAATGAGGACGAAGTAGAGTCAAAATTAGTGTTGAAAATGCTATATTTAATGAAATAATTTAAAATGTATTATACAAAGGGTTATTGAATGTAGTCTTTGCGCCTTGTTGTATTTATTCTATGTAATAATTAGTTATTTATAATTAGAGGATATCTTGCATAGTGCAGATTATAAGATTGGCAATTATTCCGCACTGTTTGAATCCGCACTAATCGAGTACAGTAACAAACAGTACACCATGAGTTTTGACTACATGGAGGAATGAATTGATAATTCATATAGAACAGTGATCGCGGAACTCACCTAGAACCCCAAAATATATTAACTTGAGTCTTTATATTATCCCATTATGACCATTGGAGGGAATTCCAATATTTTTCATGAATACACAGAATTTTAATTGCCGGACATCCTCATTACCCACAAGAATTCTCTTTTACTTCATTTGGGGTAATTTAACCCTGGTTCAGCGACCATATATAAAAAATATACAAATGAATATTTTTGATATATGGTCGCTGCACCGGGGTAAATTATCCCAAAGAAGTAAATTATTCGTTTTTTTTAAGTTGATATTTTATAACTATAGCGATCCAATCAGTACTATGAGAGGTATTACTGTATACGCTTTAGATTGTAACGGTTTATATATTTTTTGTTATTTTTTTTTATAATTACGTATATATTTTTTTATGACTGTTACAATAAACAAGGAAACTTTATTTAATATAATCAACTGTTTTTTTTATAAAGTTGGTTGGTGCTTGAAAATACAATTACTATCAGTTATGCACATCCATACATGTCACACATAAATTAACCTGAAAAGGAGATTTTTATTTATGCATTATTTCGATGATCATATCTCGTTTAAAAAGCGCTTAAATTAATTTTAAATTGCAGTTTGCGGTACGCATTTTGTTTAAATTTTGGAAATGAGCTGAACGGGTAATGACGGTAATCGGATGGACGAAATTCCTGGAAGAAATGATTGTTTGCGGACGGGCGAAGGCAGCTCTCCGGTTTTTCTTTTCGTTTCGCAACTTGCAACGGACAAGAACAATGATTACGGACGGAAAATAAATAAATGAATGGTATCTTCTTCGAGGCAGAGGACCGCAATTACCCAATTCTCTGACTCTCGTACAACGATAATACCGTTTGCAAATTAGCCCGATCGCAAAATAAATACCCTCATATGCCTAAGGAGGAAGATGGAAGTAATTTCGAAAGATATCTCTTCATTACTCTGCTCTGGGAATGTCTTGTTCTTCATTTGCAATTTTCTTCGGCAATCAGATACGTTATGCCTCATTAAAAGCATACAATTTGGTAATTGTATATACTTTTTAACTAATGTATACAATTGCTACAAGTCCAAGGAAAACAATAAGTATAATTATTAGGACTACAAATTGTTATTCATAATTAGAAAGAGGAATTAGAATTCGGAAGAATTTAAATACATTTAAGAGAATAGGAATTTTATAATTTGAGTATAAAATTCATGAATTTCTTAAGTTTTACATTTGATTACCAAATTATTTGATGACGTACCAAAATTTTGTTGGAATACCGAGGCGTCTTTTAGTATGTTTGTTAATCTCGAACTAAATTGTTCGAAAACTGAGGTATCCCAACATTTATATTCCACTCTATTGGTTTTTATCTAAGAGAAGTATACTGTATGAAAATTTAGTTTGATGATAATAATACGTGCATACTTTCCTTTATGTAATTACATAAATCCAGTTGATCTTCTTTGACTAGTGATTGATATATGTATGAACTAACTAGGAAGTTTTATTTGTACCAGGCTTTCACTTTAACTTTAGAGCATCGTTAGTTGCATTCTTAATGATAATGAGCGTAAGTATGTGGAGAAATATTTTATATAATTTATTCTTAGTAATTATTTGTATATAATATATATTTATTTACTTATGTATATTTTTAAATCTTTACTTAATTATCTCTTTCTTTATACTTTTTTAATGATTATAGTTAATTATTATTTTGTAATTTATGTATATATGTTATACAAAGTAAACTACATTAGTTTAGTTTTTTTAATAATTTATTACTTAATATAAAATAATCACTTAAACCAAATATATAAATAACTAATTTAGTTCATAATCTCACATAACACGATGTAGCCTATCTATCTGGTCATGAATGTTAATTGTCTGATGTAACCTATTGTTCATAGTCATATACTTGGGGATATCGATAGTTTGTTTGTTTATTAATTTTATTTTAACATTTGGAACACCATGGATCGGTTTTCTTAGCCGTATGAGACATCACGCCGCATTCTTCCGAATTGCGAGTAACTTTGCCACCTAAGAGGAGATTATGAAGACCATGACATTTGGTGCATTTGATGTTGTTGCGAATCTAATAATCCAATAATAATGTGAATATTCTTAGGACTTACAACATGGCATATGATTGTT